TCTAAAGTTTCAGAGCAAGTAGCTGCAACCTATGTCGCTTTCCACAATAATACATAAATTCACTCAGCACGGTTCAGACTTAGCGACCACGCCTCGGTTTTCCAGGCTGAGTCTTTCGCTTTAAAGAAGGCAACACCATTTTTCCATCCATCAGCTTCTACATGAACAGCATGCAGTCCTACAGGCACTAGCGTCCTACAGGCACTGAACAAGAACGGCACACAAGCCATGCACATCTCTTCGTTAAAAGAAGTGCTTATAACCCTATCTTCTTCCAGGCAAGTGTGCCTATGCTGGGCACGTAGTCATCAAGGTACCCAAGGTAACGAAAGAGCCGACTCCTTAGCTAAAGAAGCCACAAGTCACCCCTTCATCTTCTCAGAGATACCACTTTTCATAGTCGCTGCCAAACACAAGATCTTCTGCGCCTTCATGTCCATCTGGCAAGCTCGCTGGGACGACTCAGAAACACTGGTCGATACACCTACCCCATCTTTCCCGTGGTTCCCCACCAAAAGGCTGAAAACAGATTTCCATCTACAACAAGCTTTCACAAATCACGGAAGATTTCCCGTGTACCTCAGCAGGTTCTGCCATCAAACCGTAAAATGTGCCTGCGATGCTTCAGCTTCTTCAGAAGACTTTCACATTACATCCACGACTGTCCATTCGCTTCTCCCATCACAGCCTTCCTTCCTCAGCTCCAGGGATCACATAGCCTCAAAGATCTTCTTCAGGATTACTACGGACAGCGGGCCGTCAGAACTATCATAGAGCGTCATAGAGTATGCGGGGCGTCAGAACTATCATAGAGTATGCCTATTTTAGGAGAAACATAATCACAGCAGATAACCAAGTCTAAGCACCTGACGAAATGTAAAGGTAGCAAGCCTCTACTCATATATATACATGAGTAGTATATCATGTATATACATATAAATATCTCTAAGCATCTCTCTATCTCTCTTATGTATATATGTAAATATCTCTAAGCTAACTAAGCCTTTTTGCTAATTTTATTAAAAATTGTAAGTTGGAGCACCCAACAAAAGTAAAATATTGATAAATATGTTTATCTACAACAAGGTTGAAAAGATAAACAACCAAAATAGGTTACTGTAGCAACGATCAGAATAACATGACTGACATGTAGTGCCCATTGAGGGGTGAAGCAGGCGGAATAATAATAAATAAATAATCAAAGAGGAGAAACAAATCTTGAAACATGGTTCAGTGAATCTAAAGAAAGTTTTTCAAAGGGATTTACGATTGTCGCTATTTTTTTCCAATAACGGCAAATTAAAAATAAAGAGAATGAACAAAATATTAAGATCCCCACCCCCATATTATGAGGAACATATTTTATACCCAATTTGCAAATATGAAATGCCTTCTCTTTACCCACAGTGCCATCAATGAGTAGAACTGCTAATCAATGAGTAGAATTGCATCAAGATAAAACAAGTAGCCACACACGTCCAAATCCATTGTTAATTTTCGGGAAAAAACAGAACTAGAAAAAGGGTATAAATTTAGTAGAGATGTGAGTGAATCAGTGCTCTACTCAAAATGAAACTCTTCAACTGTATCTTGAACATGACACTATGTTTATGGTTTAAAACTTCACCCACAGATGGCAGCACTAGGTACATCGATCTGAAATTTGATTTCGCAAAATACTTTTACGAGTTATAATTAATTAAACTATTGTAATGAATTTAAGAAACACCACATATTCTACATAGGATTTAATTGCTAAAGAAGGGGGTGGCCACTCTTTTTGGGAAGCGTGCCACTATCTGAAAAAAAAAAAAAAGTTATGCGTGCCACTTTCAACTTTTCCAACACATTGAAAAAATATAAGCAGGTGAAAATTTTTTATTTGTAGACTGATTATGGGATTTTTGCCCAAAAAGCACATTTTTTTAAACACTATGACTATGGGAACATTATTAAACACATTATGATTATGGGATTTTTACCCAAATAGCACATTTTTTAAGTAAACTATTGTAATGAATTTAAGAAACACTGTAAGGATCTTAAGTTTTACTAACGTTTATTTTATTTTAAATCTTTACTATCACTTCTTATTTTCTACTTCCGGCCAGAATTATAAGCGTGAAGGAGTTTATGCAAAGTTGTCTGGCGAACGCCAAGTATTTAAGTGTGGCCTTTTTGCCAAGCAGAAGAGAGGAAGCAGTGAGTTCGAAGCAGGCCGCTTACCTTAGAAGTTACGCAGTTGCTATTTGCCTTCCAGGCCAGAGGTTTTAATCCTCTTGATAAATTAAACGTATTGTAGTGTTCACAGTCTCTGTGCTACATACGCTTCCTGTTATTATAAGGCCAATCTTATTCTAAAGTTAAATTAGAGTTTAGTTTTATTTTGATATCTTTTACGTTAGACCCCGAGTGGAGGGTCATTGTATTCCGAAGTACGGAAGTCATTGTATATAAAGAAAAATAAAGGGTTTTGTATACCCTTCGTCTGTATCCTGTCTACTTACTACAATTAGTGAACATAGCTTTAGTAAGCTCTCTGTTCTAGTCAGGTCATTGTATGTTTCCGAAGAAGGTAAGAAGAAACATTGAACCTGATAACACCACATATTCTACATAGGATATAATTGCTAAAGAAGGAGGTGGCCACTCTTTTTGGGAAAATTTTTTATTTAGAGGCTGATTATGGGATTTTTACCCAAATAGCACATTTTTTATGCAAGACTGAGTAGTGGACATTTAAAAAATGATATACTAAATAAAGCAAACGTACAATCCAGGGTTTTATTGTTAGTAAACATTTTTAAAGATTCAGTCAGTTAGATTATGTACAAATCAAAAATGCATAATTTGAAGCATTTAATTCTAAATAACTATTAAATAGTCAGTACTTAATTAATGTGGTTTTTGAATATGTCCAACGACAGCCATATCTTGCGCTTCTTGCCACGTGGAATTTCGTAGGCTTGGGCTGATATTAGTATCGGACAACTGAACATTAGCCAACAACGACAATACTCGTCTTCAGAGGATGTTTTAATTGTCATAGTTAATCAGTAAATTTGATGATATTTGAAAACTTGTGGCCTTGGCTACTAATGTTCAATTAAATTATGATTAGGAACAGCATGAATTACAAACAAATAGCTAAGTTTATTGCTTTTTATTGTTCAGTTATCAAAATGCGACGCTACTAGGATAGCAACGTTTGGAAACCAAAATCAAGCAATCATGAAAAAATATAAAATACTTGAAATAAAAAATAATTACTTCTCATGCAATAACTGGGCCACTACAGTTATTGCATGAAAAATAACTAGTGGCCCAGTTAACTCTAATCTATGGACAGAGATTGCACATTCTCTCAATTTTTACAAAATTATTAAAGACATTTGTTAATTACATAAAATACATATTTACCTCTAAATAATAACAGCATAAATAAAAATTGCTTTTAAAAAAGTAGAAATGATTGATTTTCGACTTCAGTGTGTGTTACCCATTTCTTCTCAGCAGCTCATTTTACTGAGAAAATTTCCAGTTAAAAGGGAGTTTTACTGTAATATACGATTCCTACTTTCTGAGAAAACTGACGTTTCCAAAATTCGTAATTTGCTCTTACTCTTATCTTCGAAATACTGGAACATTTCAATATCAAATAATTCCAATTAATTATTTATTAATATTCTAGAGTCATTAGGTTATTTTTTGAAGCAGGAGATGTGATGTAACACATGTGCAATGCCCTCCCAACTTCGACTTCTCGAGTATGCACCGAATGTGTTACTGTTAAACAATGACGACATGTTGCGAGAAGGGAGAAAATACCTTATATACAGTCAAAAGTCGTTAATTCAGACACCCATAATCCGGAATAATCTATAATCCGGACTTCAAAGCTAAAAACTTTCTGCGCATGCGCCCCGTTGGCGCATGCGCACAGGCGTTTTACGCGTGCGCGTAAATGCGTGTGCGCAAGTGCAGAATTCGTTTTCGCCTGCGCGTTTAATGTATAACGGACGGTGTAAGCTAAAATTATCTAATTATCTATTTCAGTTAATGTTAATGATTGCGTTGTTCCTTAATCTTCGAATTGGATCTCACTTATTATTTTTTGCAGACTGTAAGAGCAATTTTATAAAAGTAAACTTGAACTTTCGATTATGTCAAATAGATTTTCCGATGCTGGAACTTCCAAAGGATCTACAAAACGAAAGTATATTTCGATGTCCAACAAACAAAAAGTGGAATTGCTGCAGAAAATGGATCAAGACATGAAGAATGTGACAGAGAGGTTAGTGAAAACGAAAAAATTTCGATTGACAAGTTAGTCGGTATTCTCGGCACAACAATTAACGGGACTTGAACAGCGGAACTTTGTAACTGAACAAGAAATTATGTCTTTTTATAGAATTAAAGAGAAAGTATTATCACATAAAATGAAGCAACTTAAACAACTTACATTGAGAGAAATGTTTAATAAAGTAAACAAATAAATATTAAGCTTTTTTTTTTTTTTTTTTTTTTTTTTTTTTTTTTTTTTTTTTGTAAATTTTGATACCCTTTAGATCATAATTGTTCTTTATTTCATAAATTACGGTTTCATATTTTTAATTTTAGAATTTCTGCATGCCATCTTACGAGATTTAAACTGATGATCTATAATCCGGAAAAATCGATAATCCGGGTTCGCCGAAGTCCCGACGAGTCCGGATTAACGACTTTTGACTGTACTCCCCTTTTTATAAGGCGACTGCAGATTAGGGGTTTCAGTGACCAAGTCCTGCTAGTGGCAAATTATTGTTCATCACCACATTTTAGTTCGGGCGCCACTGAGTCATTAGGTTATTCTGAAGCAGGAGACATGAAAAATGAGCAATGCCCTCCCAGAGACTCGAACCTGGACATCTCGAATATGCGGCGAGTGTTTTACCGTTACACCACGAAGGCATACTGGAAGGGGAGGGGAGAAGTAGCATATAATGTAATAAATAAATTTGTTTTTTACAAAATTACAGGAAATTTTATTCTGTACGCCTTCCAATATTTACAAGAATGTAATGTTCAGCTTAGTGACATTAAATGACTGTAAAGTTTAGATGACTTTCGGGATTATTAAATCGGTTAAAAATTTTAAAAGCAAAATCTCAGTTTTCAATATTGTTGAAACTATTTATCAAGTCTTGGATTTCTAACTAATGAGCTTTTATCAAGTTTTGGTCCTGTTTCTTCAAAATATCTTCAATATTACTATTACTTGATGGACGAATTTTTGATTGTGGAAGTTTTGCACAACTCGGAGTATCTCTAGTTAGCTTCACCTTCTTCCAAGTTCCGCTGGATACAATAATGTGAGTCTTACATAGCTTTTCAAAGGTATGATATAAATATTCGGTTTCATGCCGTAGAGAATCTATGTCCAATGTATAGACTTCACGCAAAAGGGCTTGTTTCAGTTTGAAGTTACTATACAATTGAGCTCCTTTCTCTACTATGTCAGAATATCCACCTTCACTGTTATCCAGAAAAAATAAGTAAGATTCCTCTTTCATGTTTCTAAAAATTTCCTAAAAAATATATATATATATGACAATTAATTGTTAAAGGCAATTATTATTAGTCAAAAATACATAATATTGGTTCTTGTTCCATTAATAAGATATCAGAATAACACATTATAAAAGAAAAAGTAATTTTTACGTGATATTGCGTGAGTTTTACACCTGTGCAGAACAAAATATCCGGATTAATTATATCAAATTTTCCCTATTAATAATATTTAGGGCTAATCTTTGGAATATGGTAACAGGTAGTTTGGCGACATTTTGGTAAAGCCATATAGGTTACTAGCTAGGACTTCAGCAGTGTACATGGATAAAGTCAAGAGTGTGCACAATGCCATTTTTGTGCAATTCTGGGATGTTTTTTTTAAGTGAAAATAGGTCGACGTGTACATGGATGAAACCGTGTATGTGCAATCCTTAAAAACGCGGTAAGCAGTTTGCGATTCTGTACTTTCTCCCAATTTCGCACCTAATCTTCGTCATGATTAAGCACTTTTGTTCCATAAAAGTTCTAGCATAAGCATAATTCGGCTAGCAGATTGTTGGAAAAAAATGTTGAGTAAAGGGGAAAAAAAAAAAAAAAAAAAAAAAAAAAACAAAAACATGACTTTACTTTGTGAAAACAAAATGGCGTCCAAACAAAAACTAGCAGGTTGCTGTAGCAGGGTTGGTCGCCAAATTTTCGCCAAAAAATAGTTAAGTTACCATAATCCAAAGATTAACCATATTTAGTTTTTTTGCTAAAATATGCGTTATGATTTAAAATCTATAAGGCGTAAAAGTACTTATAAAAGTATAATATTGTTTCTTGTTCGTTAAAAATGTATCAGAATAACACTCACGTTAATTAAGGAATTAATGCAATGACTTTGCATTAATTCCTTTGCACATTTCATTCTATTTTGCGATTGATGAATGTTTACATTACTGAAAGATACGAGTCCAAGTCTATTTTTTGAAATAATGGCATCAGAAGAACTTGCAGACGATAAAAGTCAACTTTGTCACCTGATATCAATGGGTTAAATAAGATAAAACATTTATCGTGTTTCAGGTATAAAACGCGATACACCCATTGGAATACAAACTACCACAAAAGCGATAAACTCATCTGGGAGAAAAATATTTAATGACACTATAAAAATAAATAAAATAAAATATATTTTTAAAAAAATCTGAATGCTTTGAGATTTTACATTACGTCCAGAAGGTGTTTCTTTTTAACGTTTTATGTGTTACCTTTATTTATTAAATATCATTTTCTTCGTACTTAAACCATAAAATTCAATTCCAGTGCAATATCGCAAAATAATTTTAAAATGAGCATATCTTTACAATTTCCGATACACAATCTCGGAATGCTGGAGCTATTTTTTCCCCCCTTTAAGTATTGCCATTGCTCGCTTTGAAATCGATGAGTTTGTTAATAAAAAATTCGGTAAAGTTTCACAAAATATGAAATAGATAATAAAACAAATTCCAATATTCGGGTGGAAGGGGAAACGTAAGTTATTAAAAATTGTATGGCTCTAGGTACCGTTGTTTTATCCCAATGCGAGAAATATCCATATATTCATGCTGATTCTTTATTATTTATCTCTTTGAATATAATACAGGGCTGTAATATTTAGTGGTGAAAGTTTCAAAAGTGAATCAACGCAAAATGCCAAAACGAAATTAATAGCCCTTCCAGTCGAATGCCCTTTGGGCTAAAACATTTAAAAGTTTCCAGATTTTAAAGTCGCCCAAAAGGATTTGTTAGGTTTTTTAAGCTTTCTTTGAGCACGCAGCCTACGAGTCTGCCGTACACTCCCTTCTATTAGTCTTTTATTATTATTCAGCATCATTTTCTTTGAAATTACGCCATATACAATTCAACAGCAAAATTACAAAAATTTTAAAAGCATAGAATTTATAAGCTTAGAATTCCAATGCAGCTGTAAGTATTGGCGTATATTTTAATGTTTTTTATTTATTTTTTTCTGTCTTTTCTCAGTTTATCATACCAATGTTCAGTTTTATTATTAAGATGGCTTTACAAAACTTTTGTTCGTTTTTTTATTATTAATGTTTTGTGTGTTTACTTTAAAAATTCGAATCAACAGCAAAATCACAGAATATTCAAAACAGTATATTGTTAAGAATTTCCAATAGATAGACTCGTGCGCTGAAAATTGAAATGTTGTATTCCGTACAGTGTTGCCACAGCCACCGTACAAAGTTTGTTAATCAAAACTTCGTTTAAGTTTTACAAAATATGAAATAGCTAATAAAACATTCAAAATGCGTGCGTCCGGGTGGACATACTCGAGTGGAGTCCTCTGCGTTATTCAAAATTTGATGGCTCTAAGTACCCTTTATAATTTCACACCTCCAGAAATATACATAAACTCATGCAGATGCTCCATTATTTAATTTCTTTAAATATAATACCGAGCAATAATATTTGGTGGCAGCAATCTGAAAAAGTGATACAACGCATTTAAGTTTTTAGACGCAAAATGCCGTTACGAGATATCCGGAACTGATGTCCCGTTTGGGCTAAAAAATTCACATTTTAGTTAGAGCAAAAGAACCTAAAGGTTTTAAATTAAAGCTAAAATTCATCGATAGATTATTAGGCCAAAAGGGGCTTTGTTCTTGAAGAACTATTGTTTTCATTTTGCGATTTTGCGTCGACTCTCTACAAACGGCGAATCACTTTTCGAACTGTTGCCACAAAGTATTATCGCCCTGTGTTATATTTAAAGAAACAAAATAATGAAGAATTTGCACAAATGTTTCTCGCATTGTGATAAAACAACGGTACCTAGAGCCATCCAGTTTTTAATAACATAAACCTACTGCGAATATGGGAATCTGAAAGACAAAATTTGGAATTTGTTTTATTATCGATTGCATATTTTGTAAAACTTTAACGAATTTTTGATTAACAAACTCAAGCATTTCAAAGCGAGCCATGGCAACGTTGTACAGAAAAAAAATTTTTATCTCCAGCGCGTGAGACTGCATATTGGAAATTCTAAAGATATGCTGATTTTAAAATTATTTTGCGATATTGCTATTGAACTGAATTTTATGATTTAAGTGCGAAGAACATGATATTTAATAAATAAATGTAACACAAAAAAGTTTTAAAAAAAAACCTTTTGGACGTGTGACTTAAAATATAAAACCTTTATTATTATTATTATTATTATTATTATTTAGTGATTAAAATGTTTTACAAGTAATACTTTGAAGTTCTAATTGATAAATAAAGTTTGTATAATAATAAAAATAACTTACTTTTATCGTTGAACGAACAACAGTCTTATTTGGTGATTCCGTCTTAGTACGCAAAATCAACTCGGAAATAAATTTCACTATGGTAATGAAATCAGATTTTCGAATAGCATCAACGACATGCTCAGAGTCAAATTTAGTCAAATCACCTTCTAAGAATTGGAAGGTTAATTTTATTTTTTTAGGATTGCACAGGATCCATCCTAGGGATCTTTCCTTAGAAGTTTCTGCAGTTTCCAAATATCAGTACTCCATCCTTTACACAAATTGACAACTCTAATTTTCAAAACCAGAGGTGACGATCTTTGTTCTTCGTGCTTTTCTAGTATATCACTGACAATTTTGCAATTCCAACTGCTTCAGGAATTGATCGACCACCTAAACAACATATCTCGAATGACTCCGAAGATACTAGACGTTCGATGAGGTTTTCTTCATATTTCAGAAGTTGAAGAAAGTGGTGAATAACAACAGCAGAATGTAAAACTGAAAATCCGTACATATAAGCACATCGGTCTGCTTTAGTATAACGAAGTTTAGGGATACACGTTTTTAGGCTTAAGTTGTGGGACCCATCGAATTTGTCTGTCAGCGATTTTTTTTACTGCTCGCATGAATTCTGTAGATTCTAATTTAAAACTCCGGTAAAGAACATGAAATGAAAACGATGTAGAAAACTTTCCACTTCCCTAATGGGATGCTTCAGAGATACATTAAACATTCCTAAGCAAACAAAAACTCGTCAGCATTGAGCAGAATTTAAATACAAATTACACCAAGACTTTATGAGCTAATTTTTATCTGGTAATTTTCCCTCCGACTTATCGTTATCAGCTAGAAAACAGCATTTATTTATCTGATGGCGAAAGTGCAATATCACGATCGTTTTTATTCATATATTTGCTTTGAAACTGGGTGTTTGCCTCTAAATAACAGCAGCATAAATAAAATTTATGCTATTGATTTAAAAAAAAATAGAAAGAATTACTTTTCGCCATAATGATTTAGTGTTACCTATTTTTCTCCTTCATTTTGCTTCTCATTCATTTGCTTTCTCATTCATTTGCAAAGATTTTTCACTTAAAATGAAGTTTTTACTGTAATAAACATTCCTAATTTCTGAGATCTTTCATGTTACTAAGCATTTCCTAAATAAATAAATATATATATGGTAATTAATTGTTCAAAGCAAATATTACTAGTCAAAAGTACATAATATTGTTTCTTGTTCCATTAAATAAGATAACAGAATAACACCCACATTATAAAACAAAAACTCATTTTTGCGTGATATTGCGTGAATATTACACCTATGCAGAACAAAAATATACGGATTAAATATATCTAATTTTCTCTATACAATGTATCCAGTTTTTTGATGAAATAAATGTTATTATTTGAAATCTATCAAGAATAAAAGTAATTATTATTAGTCGAATAAACATAATATTGTTTCATTTCCCATTAAATAAGATATCAGAATAACACTCACATTATAAAACAAAAACTCATTTTTGCGTGATATTGGGTGAATATTACACCTATGCAGAACAAAAATATACGGATTAAATATATCTAATTTTCCCTATACAATGTATCCAGTTTTTTGCAGAAATAGGTGTTATAATTTGAAATCTATTATGAATAAAGTAATTATTATTAGTCGAATAAACATAATATTGTTTCATTTCCCATTAAATAAGATATCAGAATAACAC